ATCAACAACTACACACTAGAACGAAACCATTAGAGTATACAATTGTTCTTAATGATATCATGTAAAGTTATCATAAAAATATTAAAACCAGATGTAGAAACACTTTTTGTTCTTACAAGTCTCTCCCTCTACTAGAGCAAAGGAAATTGGTAAAATATTATTGTTGCCATATTATGCAACTAACATCAGTAGCATGCCTTTGTATTTCTCGTACAACCACATTCCATATATTTGAATAATAGGCTTGCAGGATGCAAACCCTGTGATGCAAGGTTGAAAAGCCCAGAAGAGTCGACTGAATCTTCCATTTCCGTTGACACAAGTACCGTATGAGGCATACGCTAACAATGTTTCCATAATATAAATAGTTCCTGGAGCATACGTGCAAAGTGCATGCAGGTAGCGCGGTAGTTTTTTTATATGAATCCTTCTAGTTTCCATATACTTTTTCAATCGCTTTTGTCTTTGCTAACCATAACTTTATGTATGACGAAGTATAATTGTATATTATAGTGATGTGAGAGATTATGGTTTTCACCTTCAATAACAGATCATTGCTGACGAGAGATAAGATTTCTTGACATATTAGATCATAATTAGTTTACGATAATCTTGTGATTAAGATCTCAAACTGCACGATTGATACCAAATTTATAGTTACAATGTTGGAAAGGTGGAGACCCGAGACACACACCTTTCATCTACCAATTGGTGAATGTACTGTCATACTAGAGGAAGTGTATATGTTAATGGGTCTCCATATTAATGGTAAGGTGGTGAATGGGCCGGTTCAACAACCAAAATCTCTATGTGAGGAAATGTTGGGCAAAGATATGGTGGATCGAACTGTTGCTAGGGGCCTAGCTATTTTACTAACCAAACTTAAATCACATTACGGGACTCTTGGGTTGAATGAAAATTCGTTCGAGGAAGAAAAAATAATTAAAGCTCAAAATTATATTATGATACTATTTGGAAGCCTGTTATTCCCTGAAAGTACAGGTAATGATGTCAGTTTTATGTATCTAAGTTTGCTTAGAGACTTTGATAAAACAAGAAAGTATAGTTGGGGTTCCACCGTTTTAGCCTATCTATGCAGTTCATTATGTAAAAATGCAACATACGGCACATGTACTTTTAATGGATGTGATTTATTGCTCTAAGTATGGGGTTGGTGGAGAATGGAGCCCCTTAACGCCATCAACGACCATGCGTACATCTTCCCCTACGCAACAACGTAAGTCTATTGCGTAAATAATTTATTATTTCTCTCTATGCTAAATAGATGTACATAATTAATTATTTTTTCCATTCCTTTAGGTATTGTGTAAGAGGTATGGATTACAAGAATCCAAGATGCAATGTTGTTTTATATCATAATTTTTTGGATCACCTTGGCCAGGATGATGTACGTAGTACCTCTAAACTTTTCTTCTTTTAACTTATTTATTTTTAAATATCATCATTCTGATTTAATTTTATCCACAGTTTATCTGGAGACCATATTTGGGGTTGGACCATAAACCCAACCCCGACGATGCAGCAGTTTGGACAGAAAAAAATACAATCATACAGTTCAATGTTATAGAGATGCACCACAACAGCCGTGTCAATATGCAGTTTGGAATGCATCAAGAAATACCAAGCGATCCAACTTGTTTGTCACCCTGGCATCTCAAAAGGATCGACGCCCAATGGGGTATTAATAATTGGAAAGATTTTGCTCCGGACTGTGTAAGATGTGGCATAGGCATCACCGACATGTCTTATGATTCCCTATTTTCCTCACCCAGCATAATATGCGACACATCGATCAATATTATGATTGGTACATAACTCTTACTAACCCTGAAATGTTTGTGTCTGACCTGAGATATTTGATCGACCCACGCACACAATTGGCACAATCCTCAAATCCCCAATAACAACCCCAACAACAAAACCAACACACATCAACCTCCCACCAAACACCACGACGATACAGATCCACAAACACCCAACCCCAATCACCACCTCAATACCAATACATCCACATGCCACATACACAGTTCCAGTACTCTGAACAAAGACCATACATCCAACATCCCGATGTGGACCCCTCATCATCTCACCTTAGCCCAGACCTTAGCCTACTTGAAGAATATTCCCCAACCGATCAAACTTACCATCATCCATCACATCACCATAGTATCCAACAATCGCAGTATCAAACTCCACAAGATTCATTTCCATTTTACCCCCCTTATTCGATGACCAATGCTATGGACCACCTATGGAACCCCACCCCGCACCAATACGACCAAACTTTGAGGGCATGGGTAACTGACTGTTTCAAAGCGGATCTTTCAGATATGCTGATCTAACGGATTTCATGGATCCTGAACGCATTGACTTTGCTAGGGCCCTCGATCTAACCGCAGCAGGAAAATCGTCAAAACGCACCACGAGTTAGGAGAGGACGCGGGTGCGAAACCACAGGTTGTTATCAAGTTCTGGGAGAGAACTGAATAATATGTAACTCTTATTCTCATTATGTAATTGTTTAATTATTATTGAAAATCAAATTTTCATTTGCAACAAAATTGTCTTTTATATACTTTACAAAAAAATTTATTAAAAAAAACCACTTTGCACCTAGGTCCCATCTGAGATGACTTAGGAAAAATCACATGCACCTAGGCGCCGTCTCATTTGGCATGACGCCACTTTAAAAAAATAATACATGCGTCATCTCACATGACTACTGCCTATTAATATTTTCTGTAACATAATTATTTGCGTAATTTTCTCCGGATCATGATTATTTGTGTATTTTTTTAATACGCAGTTATTACAAAAAAAAATCATAAATGACGATCTGTTTAAAAATTGACATATCTTTGATTTTAAATATATAAATACGATAGGTTGGTCAAAACATTTAAATTTAAAATAGATATCAGAAATTAAATATAATAACGAAAGCAAAATTGTAATTAAACAAATATATTATTATTGTATTTTATTATTTCTTAACATCATTTTTACAATTAATTTATTAATTTTAAGATTTTTTTATTTTATTTTCGCACTGTAGTTCTCAAGAAAAAAGAGCTCTAGTAATCCATAATTCACATTGTTTCTATTTAGGAATCAAATCTAATATTTCTCAAATTGCATCTTTAACAGAATTTTTTTTTACCACGGACCCCCTAAACTACTTATTTAAAAAAAAATATTAGAAGGATTAGAGACTATTTATCACTTAACTCCTTAACTTTTTACTAAATACTAATATAATACCATAACTAACTAATTATTTCATTAATTATTGATATTATTGACTTGCATTCAATTATTAAATAATTAATCTTATTAGTTTTTGCAATTATTATGTAATAAAACTATTTTTATTTGTTATTAATTTGGTTGTAAGTATATTTTATATGAAATTATACATTTGTTGAATAATCACATTCTTTTAAAATTTATTTGAATATGTGAGTTGTTGGATTAATAATAAAATTAAAATAATTATTAAAAAAACCGCCCTAGCCATTCCATTTAACACGATTTTTTACAATATCTATTTAATCAGAATTTAAGTAAATATTTGTTTTGTACATATTTATTAAATAACATATGTATTTAGATTATATTTAATTAAAAAATTAATTATTCTTTTTCTTATGACACGGAGGGCCGAAGCCCGGAAAAAAGTTTAATTATTCAATACATTTTAAAAATATATATTTATTTATAAAATAATATTATTTTTATATTATTGTGTATATTAAATATTTACACGGAATATTATTCACCGTATTTATATGGTGAATAATGTTTTTTTAAAATAAATCAATAATATTTATAAAAAGAATATTTTTATTTTTAAAATTATTTTTAAAATTATTTTTATAACATAAATATATAATTTATTATTAATAAATTTTATTATTGTATTTACTAGAAAATATAGATCATTAACTATATATTTTACTTATAATTCGTTAATTAAGTTTAATGCTTCATTAACTAATAAATTTTATTATATTAACTAAATTCTGACATTAAAATATAAAAGATCATTTGAAATAGTAAATTTGAATAATAAATTATAAGTAAAATATATGATTAATAACTTATATTTTTTTAGTTAATAAAAAAATAAAATTGGTTAATAATAAATTTTATATTTGTGTTATAAAAATAAAAATATTTTTTTATAAATATTATTATTTTATTTTAAAAAACACTATTAATCTTATAAATTCGATAAATAGTATTTTATATAAATATTTAGTTTATAAAATAATATAAGAATAACATTACTCTTATTTATTTATAACAATAATGATATTTACTATTTCATCATTTTTGTGTTTAAAATGAATTTTTTACAAGATAATACTCTCTTCAATTTCTTCTATAAAAAGTTATATATATTTTGTCCCTTTTTATGAGATTTTTTTAATGCATTAATTATTTTTTCTAAATATATCTCTAATTATGTTATATATATTTTTAATATGTAATAAATACATTTATATAAATATTAATTAATTTTCTCTTTTAAAAATAAATTTATATAATTATACAAATAATCAATAAATTTAATACTTTAATTAATTTTTTTAATTAACGTAATTTAATCTACAAAGTCTTATATTTAAGGACGGAACTAGTAATAAATATATTAATTATTTAATAAATTTTAAAAATAATTTTTTTAATAAAAAATAGAGGAGTATTTCTTATTTTCTGTATCTAAAAAGTAAAATAGTTTATGAATTTTTTTAAAAATAGAATATTTTGAATTTTAATGTTATTAAATAAAACAAATCATTTTCCTATAAGAATAAGAAGAACAAAAGAAGGGCCACAAACCCATTTTCTCTGCCACTAGCAAGAGAGTAGACCCAACAACTAGCCTTTTTTCAAAGTTGAGAATTTCCAAGATTCTCTTCTTCTTTTATCACACACTTTTTTCATCTCTAACCTCAACTTTTATCACAAAAACTATGGCACTTATCTTCTTCCACTACAAATTTTCCCTCTTTTCTTTACTTTCTGTTCTTTTCATCACCTTCACTTCTTCCCATATCATACCCAAATTTCCTTCTCCACTCATTCATCCAGAGCAACAGATAAACTCTGGTTCTGCCAAAAATGGTCTTTACATAACAAAATTCTTCACTCAAACACTTGACCACTTCAATTATAATCCTCAAAGCTATCAAACTTTTCAACAAAGGTATCTCATCAATGATACTCATTGGGGTGGTGCCAAAAAGAATGCTCCAATCTTTGTCTACACTGGAAATGAAGGACACATTGATTGGTTCACACAAAACACTGGATTCATGTTTGAAAAAGCACCTTATTTCAATGCCCTTTTGGTTTTCATAGAGGTAAACCTTCGAGTTCAAAACTTAAATATTTATGATATTATTGAATAAATAATGTATCTAAATAATATATAAATTTAATATTCTCATTTATTGAATAATTAATATATCTAATTAATATATTGCGATTTAAATGTATATGTTTGTCTCAATGCAGCATAGATTCTATGGAAAATCAATACCCTTTGGAGGGAATAAAGAAGTTGCATATGCAAATAGCACAACACTTGGATTTTTGAGTTCAGCACAAGCTTTGGCTGATTATGCAACTCTCATAATTGATTTGAAGAAGAATTTGTCAGCAACTGAGTCCCCTGTTGTCGTCTTTGGAGGATCCTATGGAGGAAGTATAATAAATTTATTTTTTAAATCATTTTGAAAAATTTTCTATCTTTAATATAAACTATAGTCTCAAATGAAAATGTGTTTTTTTTTTTTTTAATTTTAATTTTTGTAGTGTTGGCTGCTTGGTTTAGGATAAAGTATCCACACGTTGCAATTGGAGCTTTAGCGTCATCAGCTCCAATTCTTCAATTTAATGATTTGGTTTCACCATATAGTTTCGACAACATTGTCACACAGGACTTCAAGGTTTCAATAAATAATTAATGTCTTATCATATTTTTGGTCAAGAAAAATATTTTATCATATTATTAATTTCTAGCTCTATTATTCAACAGTGTTAGCTTCTCTTAATGGAAAGATTTATTATTTATTATGATCTTTCTAATTGGAGAAATTAACTTATACAATTTCGGTAGAGAAATTTATTTCTACTGAACAATTTTTAATAAAAATATAGTATGTATCACGTGCACTCACATGGTGTGTATGCATTATTACAGAGTGAGAGTGAAAATTGTTACAAAAGGATAAAAGAGTCATGGAAGCTGATACAAAAAACAGCCAAAAAACATGGTGGATTAGAATTATTAAGGAAAACATTCAGAATATGCAAGTGAGTTTTATTTTTTATTATTATTATTATTATTATTATTATTATTATTATTATTATTATTATTATTATTATTATTATTATTATTATTATTATTATTATTATTATTATTATTATTATTATTATTATTATTATTATTATTATTATTATTATTATTATTATTATTATTATTATTATTATTATTATTATTATTATTATTATTATTATTATTATTATTATTATTATTATTATTATTATTAGTTGAATTATTTAAGTACATAATTGATAAAAGTTATTAAATATTTGTTTTGGTGTAAGTATAGTAATTATATGGGAATAGATGCTTTGGAAGGTTGGTTACAGACGGCTTGGATTTATACTACAATGACAGATTATCCAACACCAACCAATTTTCTAAATCCATTGCCAGCATATCCAGTGAGAAAGGTGCAAAATTTAAATTATTAATTAATTAATTAATGTTTTTATAGTTTTGTGATTGATTTTATTTGATGTCGTGATTCTAATAAATTAGTATAAATACAATTAATATTTGTGTGCGAGTGTTTGTTAAGCGGGTTTGGAAATTAAGCATCTTTAAGATTTTTTAATTAAAAACAACTCGAGTCAAAAGTAAAAACAAAATCGATCCGTCTAAAGTGGAATAGTAACATGTTTCTCCTTTAGAAAAGGAATGTAATTAAAGAATCATCGATATTGCTAGATTCAAACTTTCAACCTTTTGTCAATAACTCTGAGTTATTGAATTTTAGAAGCCAATCATACTTGGATAAAACAATAAGATTAATTTTATAATAGATTAAAGAAATACATTCTAGAACCTACATCAAATAATAAATTTCATTCGATTAAATAATATTCTTTCTATCTCTTATATTTTAATTGATTGATGTATGTCTTTGTCTTTTATATATTTTTATTAACTAAGTTAATGAAAATACTAGTAAATAATAATTGATTTGAAAATGAAGTGGATATTTTGTGAATAATAATTGATTTGAAAGCACTTGGAAGTGTGATTGACAGAATTTGTTTGTTTGTTGGAGAGAATAATTGAATTTTGGTGAAATTGATTCAGATGTGTGAGGCTATTGACAGTTCAAAGAGAGAAAAAGATAGGTTAGGCAAGTTGTATGAGGCTGCAAATATCTACTACAACTATAGTGGCAATGCTAAGTGTTTCAATTTAAATGATCCTTCTGATCCTCATGGTCTTGCAGAATGGCAATGGCAGGTACTCAACATTTTTTTTTTTTTTAATTTATGTTTTCTAAATCAAATATATAAGTTATCCTAATTATTTATTTATTGAATACAGGCTTGTACAGAGATGGTAATGCCAATGGCCTCAAACAAGGAAAGTATATTCTCAGAATATGAGTGGTCATTGGAAGCCTTTTCTGCATCATGCAAAAATGAGTACAAAATAGTGCCAAGACCCAACTGGATTACATCAGAATTCGGTGGTCATGTGGGTTATATTTTTTAATTTTTTATGTTTTCATGTTTGCACTAATTCATGTGTTCAGTGTTATAAATATGATCTATTATATATTATTTGCAGGATATTGAGATAGTTTTGAAAAGATCTTCTGGTAACATCATATTTTTTAATGGTTTAAGAGATCCTTGGAGTGGTGGAGGGTAAACCCTTATCCTCTTTTCTATCATACTATTATATTATATTGCACTATATATTGAAATTTGTTATTACAATTTTACATTCAACTATGCTGACTTTGAGTTTGATTGCAGAGTGTTGAAGAATATAACAAAATCTATAGTTGCTATAGTTGCAAAAGAAGGTTAGTTGAATAATTTGCATATTTTTTTATATTTATGTATTTTTATAATTAGTTTGTGTGGGTAGGAGCTCATCATGTGGATCTAAGATACTCAACTAAGGAAGATCCAAAGTGGCTTAAAGACATAAGGAAGCAAGAGGTAGAGATTATAGCAAGTTGGATCAAACAATACTATCAAGACATAGCTAAGATATAGTGTGGAATTAAGGAATGGTTGTGAAATGAAACAATAATAATTTCTTTATAGTGCAATTTAATCTTTATAGACATTCATGATTGTGAAATGAAACAATAATAATAATAAGTGATTCAATAGTTAAGACAAAAAATTCATCCTCTGAATGATTGAAATGAAGATGAATTTAGAGTAGGTTTTGACAACGGTAAGTTAAGGATAGGTTCGGATTAGATTACTTCTTGTAATCAGTCTCGAAGTTATAATTATATCATTACTTATTCAAAAAATAATTTCTAATTCAAAAAATTATTTTCATTTCATATTTTTCAAAAATGAAACAAAAAAGTTATGTCAATAATAGTCAGTCTTTTGACACTTATTTTATTTCACAATATCTATATCGATTCAAACAACACCGAGTATTTAAACAATAATTTTATTTGTATCATTTGTTTATTTGATCTTGAATTTATTTACTTTTGCATATTCAAATCTAAAATTTTGTCTATATAAATTTCACTTTAAACTCTTAAACTTTTTTATTTGCACCATTAATTTACTAATATCGAATTTATTTATTTTTACACCCCTTAACCTAATGTCCTGGTTCCGCCACTGATTATCATCCAACAATATCTATATCGAATTCAAACAACACTGAGTATTTAAACAATAATTCCAAGTACTCAAACAACAACAAGAAGTATACAAAAAACATCATTGATTATCTTAATTTACAAGATGAAAATTAGTATGGAAAAAGAAGATAATGAATCTCATAGAAAAGAGAAATCAAGATCTTATTGCATTGATTCTATATTCATTAAGTTACAAATGAGAGAGCTATGTTTTGTATATATAGTAATTTGAGTAGTTAGTTCTATTTTTCTAACTTCTTAACTGTTAATTCTCTATGTTAATTCTCTATTTTGTTGTGATTGACATTATGTTTGGTAAAATTAACTTAACATAAATATATTGGATAAAGATGTTCTATCTGAAGGAAAATTGTGATCTAAAACGCAGCGGAAAATTAAAATTTCCTTTAGTGATCTTTACGAATGGGCATGGTCAGTGATAGAAATTATTATCTCTTGTAGTGATTCAGACCTTTGATGTTGTAATCCCGAACGTTGATGAATATCAACTTCTCTACTCAGTCCACACGAACAAACCGCATCTGGTCACAATGCTAGCTGTTTACTAACGAAAACTTTGAGTGACAAAGTGAGACAAAATACGGCTACGGTTTCAAGACCGAAATTTCACAATTGAAATGCTTCAGCACAAGGGTTCTATTTATAGAACCACTTATGTGGGCTTCAAGCTAAAAGCCCAATTAAAGTTGCAAGCTAAAAGCCTAATTAAGCCTACGGGTATCATACCTTATGATATACCGCATATCACTTAAGCGCGTGGTACCTTACCATATTCCATATTTCACTTAAGTGTATCGTACCTTACGGTGTTCTACAATTCACTTAAGTGCACCGTATCTTACGGTGTTCCTTATTTACTCCATCTCCCATCAACCCGTTCTTATGTGTGTGACCCTGTAGGTTTCCATGACGTTGGCAATTATATTAAATCACACATTTAACATAATAAATAGTAAGCGGTATCTAGCAACACATTACTGCTACCCAAGTCACGAAAATGTCATGTGATCTGACAAAAAAATTTCGTGATAATATTTGTGTGTATAATTACTCTTTTGCCCTTATGTCTATGTTAAACATAAGACATAGACCGTGTCATCCTTGTGTAGTTTAATATTGGGACCTTAGACATTTATCATGTTATGCAAGATGGGAAAATTCCATCTAAGTCACTCATGTCCCTCAACATGCTTTGTGAAGTACCCATCAACTGTCTTTATGGTCATCTAGTTACGGATAATGTTTGATCAGCAATAAAGTACTTAATTCTACATCTAGGGTCTATAGTGGGTTCATGCCGAAGGGTGGTATGCACCATTATCACCATGAGAATAACTTATGACACCTTGCATAACATTCTATATAGTGTTCTCATAGCGGGTCAATTCAGTATAAATATTACTCCTAATATTCATATTTATGTCAAGACTTAATAACTCCTTATACATGATCTATGAGGTGTGATCACCAGTCTATCTTCATAATAATCTCAATGCTTTAATATTATCCCACTTTACAATAAAGTTCGACCACAGATACTTTAAGAATAATATTCTTATATTTAATGTGCTCTCATGATTAAGTCACACTTAACATTTCATTAAACAGACGAACTATTCTAGGAACTTTATTATTTTGGAAAAACAAACATATTAAAGAAATGCCTTTTGTTATTAATAAATAATTTGATACAAGTACCAAAAGTATTGGCCTCTAGGGCTTACACCAATACTATGAATTGCATGTTGAATGCGATGTTCTATGCAGTTTCTTTCAACATCGTGATTTTGTACAACCGGGCTGTTGGAATTTTTAGTTTGTTACAAATGCAGAATATTCTGTAAAATATTATGCTATCCTATGTGGCACACAGTTTGAAGATTAAAAAGATTCAAGTTGATTTCGAGGAGAATTGTTAGTTTTTAATTATGGAGATAATTTAAGAAATTAATGATTGATGTCCTTTCTTTGAGGAGATAATGTTGCAGTGCCTCTATAGTCCAAATCTAGTTCATTGAAGATTATAAATAGAAGGCTTCAACCCTACTACAAGTGAGGAACTTACTGTGTATCTTTATTAGGGTTTGTGTGTTAATTGTGAGCCTCTTGATTATCATCTTGATAAAATAGTAGGACTTTGTTTTTGAGTTGTAAGTTATGTCAGTCATTCCAAAGCTTTTAAGAAGTGAATGATTTAAATGTTATTTTAATAATAAGGTCCGTTTGAATGTTCCAGTCAAAATGTTTTTGGTTTTGAGTGAAGTTTAAGAAACAATGTTATATAAGTAGACGTAGCAATTTGATCATAACTTGTCTGGGTGGTGTAGTCGGTTATCACACTAGTCTCACACACTAGAGGTCCCCGGTTCGAACCCGGGCTCAGACATAATTTTATCCTTTTTCATGTTTTGTACTGTTTAGGTTTATTGAGTTAAACCCGAAGGAGAAATTGGATTTCCCTATGGTAACACACAAGATCTTGATACTTAAATCTTCTTATGGAAATCGAGACTATATTCATTCTTTATTCCAGAGAGTTTTGCAAACACATGATAAAAATTCGAATGAATATTGTGTTACTGAACCCGAGAACCTGGAAACTAATTCTTTGGTTGCCAGGGACTGTGTTGCTATTGACACGAGTACCACTTCATTGACTAATCAAAACCATGTATGCAATCCTGATGTACTAATACCTGAAGCTTCATCATTATCTAATGATGCAGTTAACTCACTGTGTTCAGACTATTTTCTTCAAACTGTGCCGGATAATCAGATGGAAGTTGGTGTTTGTCAGACCCTATCTTCTAGTATCTATGCAGATTATCATATTAACAGCTCTTTAGCTACCTCTAACACTGCTTCTATGCAATGCCGGTATAAGATTGATGATAATCAATTAAAGGGAATACGAACAAGACATTTATCAGATATAAATAATAATGAACGTAAGGTTCAGATCTTCTCTGCGAATCATAAGCAGGCTTTCCATTCCTTAGCCAAGCAAGAACATGCTTTTTCTGGGGCCATGGATGAAGTATGTGTCAGCTGTTGTCTGCATCCTGTTGACACAATCAAGACAGTCCTTCAATCATGCCGTGTAGAACAGAGGTCCATATTTTACATTGCCATCAATTGTTTCTGATAGAGGTTAGGCTTTTTAGAGAAATCACATTCTTTCTAGATTACTTTTCCTTTTGAATTCAATCTTCAACTAGATAGCTTCTACGTCCAATTTGTGGATTGATTTCAGGTTTTCCTGGTCTATATCGGGGAATTACTACAAACATTGCATGTTCAGCTCCAATTTCTGCAGTTTATACTTTCACTTATGAATCAGTTAAAGCAGCTTTGCTTCCTTATCTGCCAAAGGTAGTTTGTCTCGAATCATCTATTTGAAAGAAACTACAAGTTAAATATCACTGTCAACATGGTACCATTAGATTTGAATATCTAGAATTAGTCTGGATCTTACCATAACTTATATGCCTATTAGCGTAATGAGATTTCAACCATCTTTTCGTGCAGGAGTATTATTCTTCTGCCCATTGTGTGGGAGGTGGTTGTGCAAGCATTGCTACATCTTTCATCTTTACTCCTAGTGAGCGAATAAAGCAGCAGATGCAAATTGGGTCTCATTATCGCAACTGCGGGTGTGTGTGGCTTTTTGAATCATCTATATATGTTATATGGCATAAAACTGCTTGCGGCCGAAACATCTCGAAAGTCCGATTTTAATGAGTGTAGCATCGAGTATCAACCAATCCTCAGCTTTACACCGAGGTCGGCTATCTCACTACTTTCTAATGGCCAAGTTAGTTCAACTAAGATTCTAAGGTCCGTTAGTGCTTCACGACACCACGCGGCAGCCCTGTATTCTCCTCGATTCAACACAAGAGATATCTGTACCAACCAAAGTTTCACACCAACACAACTATCGCTTCAACCATATCGGTCTACATCGTACAATCTCCACGATCTATTGCTACTTACCTAAAAAGATGCCCCCAGATCTGGGTGTAGGATATATAGTAACAACCCAAACAACCCTCTAAGGATAAAGCATACAAAGCACAAAAAAGTAGTTTAATAATGAACTAACTCTAAGGTAAACCCCACTTTTTATTTATCCCCATCGGAGTCGTCAGTTCTGTGATACGGTGGTAAAACCGACTGTTTAATACTGGTTTTGCGATTTGTATTTGCAAATGTCGCAGTAAGCAATAGTTGACTTTTCTTTTATCCAAATTAAGGAAATAGTGAAAAGAACAGAAAAAGACTTTTTCGCGATTATTCTGAGTAAGAGGGTAGATTATGGAAAGGGAAGATGTTAGCACCCTTTTCATCCGTAGTTATCTA